CAAAGATTAATGGAGCATAGTTTACAAAAAAATGCTATTTCAGTTCAGTTTTTCTACTTCAAAATTTCATGTTTAATTCAATGTGTTTTCTGTTTATTTGTAATTGTTTGTGAAATTTGCTAGCAATTCCTGAGTGAAAAATTGTTTCCACACTATTTTTTAGTGTATCAAATTATACACTTAAATGTTAGCAAATGGTATTTAAATATACTTAATATAAAGTGGTTTAGAAATCTTTTATATGAGGTTCAAAAGAGTCCACTAATGAAAAAGCTTCTATTCTGCCTTTTTCATTGTAATACAAACTTTTTTATTATAAATTATATTAACAGCAAAAATCTCAAGTGAAAAGTTACAAAAGTTTTAAGTATTTAATAGCTGTACAATGATTTTTTTTTTCCATTTATTAACATTATTTATAATTTATATTTATTATTTGTTAATATTTTTTAGAATAATAGTTATTAATATAAAAAAATCCATTCAATTGAACTAATTTGGGACTCATTTTGAAAACACACAATCATTTCAATATGTGAAAAGCCATGATATTCTCTTTTGATGCACAACTCATGATGTCTCATTACTCTTTATAACCGAACATTTTAAATCCTTTTGAGCACAAACCACTTCTTCCTTCACTCACCCATTTCTTTGGCTCTCGATGTGTTGCCTGTTTCACGCATGGTTGTGTCCATCTCTGCGTCCGCACACTCTTTCCTCCCATCTCCCTCCTCTCCTGTGCCACATCTTCTTCCAGCGCTCGCTCTGCCATGAGAACCACCGGCGAGACCACCGAACCAGTGTGTAAATGACAGCATTTGAGCGTTTCCTTCTAAATGCTTGAAGGGGTTCGGCCCTCTCCTCCACCCAAAGGCCCAATGTCCACCCCGCTCGGCTCCATCCCCTCCCTCTGCCTTATCTGGTGAGGTAATGTGGGGATCTTCAAGCGGTACGTTATCTCTCGCCCTGCCTCCCACGGGTGCTCACTGCCAAGGGAGCGGACTCAGGAGAGTTGCATGGTGTCCCCAGACAGGTCGGCAACAGCGGAGGGTCTTGGGAAACATGGAGAGGCCTCTCGCAGCTGCGGACCTACAGCAGACGCAACCTTGACCCCTCGGGCTGCTGGGACGACGTGACCTAAACAATGCAAAGTTACTATGTCGGCTGTCAGCTTGATGGATGTTGATCAGACTGCTTGGGACATGTTTGTCAAGGATATCTGGATAAAGAGATGTGATGTTGTTGTGCGAAAAACATTAAATATTGCTGTTCGTTGGGAACTGTGATGTATACAAGAACACAACAACAGGAATTAGAAGGACATGGCTATATAAAAAAACTAAGTTTGATATGCTTAACACATCTGCTGTTTAACTGCTACTGGCTGACAAAACATCACATATTTGAAGAGAAAACAGGAAAATAGAACAAAGTTCCTCTGTACTTGCACAATTTATTGAACTATGCATTGAGACCTTTAAAAAAAGTTCTGTCTAGTCTAATTTTCAAAATACTAGCTACTTCTAAAAAGGAAATGTTTTTGCTCAGAGGTTGCTCTCTTATAGCTGAAGATATATACACATATTTACAAATATATATATCACATGTTTAGCCAAAATGGCTAAACACTTAGCTTTTAATGGCCTTAACCACAATTAACTGGTAAGGAAGTTAGCAAGAATTAAGCAAAAGCACTCTTAAATAGCCATTGCTTTCTGGGGAAAAAAAAAATCACCATGAAGTTTTTTTGACAGAATATGGGAAGTTTGATTCAGAGTGGTTCAGCAGAATTGTGTGGAGTGATGAATCACGATAAAACATGAGCTGCATGAGGATGCACCAGAGCGGTGTCTTTGAAGGTCTGGTGAGAAATATAATAATGAATGCATCTCTACCACTGTGAAGCATGGAGGAAGATGTGTCATGATGGAGGGGGGGAGCCTTTTCACCTGCTGGTACTGGTGAGCTGCTTCATTGTGAGAAGTCAGTTAATGCTTTGGAGTATAAGAGTATATTGCAAAATGGCTTGCTTCCCACGACTGAAAAATTATCTAAAGAGGAATGATCAGACTTTTTTTTCACTGCAAAGGCAACCGAGAAGTGACCAGTAATTAGTGGTTAAATTTGTAAATGGACAAAATATTGTAAGCAAAATATTTAGCTATTTTTGCCGTGGCCCATTTTTAAAAAATATTTTTAATTTAATTTTTAATTATTTTATATTATACAGTATTTTATATTATTGTGTGTACCTGGTATTCCCTTCATTATGGGGTCCAAACATCCCCACAAGGATAGGAATACCTTATGGGGACTTTCTTTCTTTTTTTTGGTCCCTATGAGGCAACAAGATTATAAATCATACAGAATGAAATTTTTTGAAAATCTAAAAATGCAGAAAGTGTTCTGTGTTGGGTAGGTTTAGGGTTAGAGGATAGTAAATACAGTTTGTACAGTATAAAAACTATTACGTCTATGGAATGTCCCCATAAAATATGGAAACCAGTGCATATGTGTGACATGAATTGTGACATTATTATTACACTTTGTTAGGCTACATATTTTATTAATTACATATATTATATGAGTACTGAGAATGTAATGAAACTAACAAAACAACAACAACAAAACTGTTTTGGGACAGGATTGTATCTACTTAACGTTTCATTGAAAATATCTTAATGACCCTTATAATATGTTTCATTTTCTTTATGTAAAATGTAGTTTCGTGCTTTGTTTTCTTTATTTTGAGGTGAAAGTGTTTTGGGATGTGGATTTTGGTAAATCTGAGTACTGTGTGAGACTGTCTCACTCGGACATTGTGATCTCTTTTCTAACTCTAGACATTTGACTATTTGTGTTTTTTCTTTTTTTTTCGGGGAAAACATCTGAGAAGCAGGGGAGAGCAGCAAAACATTTCCATTGTCCAGCATCTCGTTATTTTAAAATGGGTTTGCATTGCAACACTCACACTCTACCAAATTTATACCGTCTTTTCACTGGAAATCCAAGTCGTTTTATATTTTCAAAGTAGGCCTATGTAACCCAACTCAGACATAAACAGTTGCAAGCGCATTTGTCGACCATCGATTGCTCTGTGATTGACTGTCATGTCTTCATTCACACGCATTGGGAACCACATGGTGGCAAAGGGGCTCCAGAGTGAACTTCGCCAGTAATCAAATGTGTTTTCTTAGTAGTGACAGTCTAATAAGATAAAATGTCGCAGGTACAGGCCCGGTTCTTCACCGAAAACAAAAAGTGAGTATATTTGGTGTGCATAATACAAACAGCTGAAACGTTTAGCTTAGCTAGATATGAGATATCCAGCTGATTTTGCTTAGTAGTATTCATAGTGTTTGTTTATATAGTGAAAGTCGTTTCTTTATAAGCTGTGCTCAAAATGATGTGGGCATTTAACAGTTTTTTTAATATAAGCAGATGTAGGCTGTGTTTGTACGAGATGTAAGATGTTCTCCTCATGCTCTTCTCTGTAGGTATCTAATAGATGATGTTCCATTCTCCATCCCTGCTGCCTCGGAGGTGACGGACCTCAGTGGTGTCATCAACAAACTGCTGGAAGCTAAGAATGGTCAGCGTGTTTACCATTCATTCTTTTTGATCACGTGTTTTCACCTTGTTATGTTTCAGCATACTTGCCTACCATAACACTTACTACAAATCATTTCCAAAACATTGTGGAACTCCACAATGTTCGCAATTGATATAAGGATACAGAAACGTCCTATCTTAATTCTTGACTTTCTCATTTCCTCAATGAAATGACCATGGTCACTAAACATATAGGATGGGTTGGGATTTGAAGTTAGGATGTTTCTGTAATACAGCCCCAGATTCTGACTTTTGGAGCGGCCGTGCTTGATCATATTTTCCTTCTATTTGTCATTTAATTAAATTCACATAACTCATGTCTCTTTTTACAGATGGACACAAACATGTTGAGTTTGATTTCCTGGTTCAAGGTCAGTTTCTCCGCACTTCACTGGCCAGTCGCATGGAGACAGAGAACATCTCAACGGTATGGCAATGCTTTTAATGTAGTCTCGCCAGCACACATCTATGGACTGCCTACAGTCTGTTCATTGACATATTATGCGCACAACAATTACAAGCTCCAATCAGATTGCTTGACAGTAACATATTGTTTCAGTCAGACTGTTTAAGACTGCATTTAAAGGATTGGTTAAACCAAAAATTAAAATTATGTCATCATTTACTCACCCCCTTGTTGTTCAAATCTGTAAGACTTCTGTTTATCTTTGGAACTCGAATGAAAATTTTGTTTTAATATTGCCTCAACATTTTTACAAAAGATTTCTATTTCCAAACAAATGTTTTTTTGAACTGTCTCTTCATCAAAAATCCTGGAAAATGTGTAAAAACATTAAAATAATAAGCAGGCCAACTGTTTTCAACATTGTGAATTATAAAATAAATATTTCTTGAACATCAGATATGCATATTAGAATGATTTCTGTCTTATAATGTGACACTGAAGACTGAAGTAATCGCTGCTAAAATTTAGCTTTGCCATAACAGGAATAAATTACATTTTAAAATGTATTACAGTTAAAAAAACTGTTATTTCAGATTGTAGATTCAGATTCAAATCGTGAAAAAAAATTACGCCGTAAAAGTAATCCATATGAATTGGTGTAATTGTTTAACTCTTTTCAAGCTGTGTTTAAAGGGGTCATATGATGCGATTTCAATTTTTCCTTTCTCTTTGGAGTGTTACAAGCTCTTGGTGCATAAAGAAGATCTGACACGTTTCAAAAAGGCGGGGCATAGAGGAGAAACAATAATGTACAGTATGTGGAAAATAATGTGTTTTTTGAACTTTAAACCGCATAAACACATTTCATTACACCAAATACACAAAATAATGTTCTTTTTAGCAGCATCATATGACCCCTTTAATGGTTAAACTGCTATGAAAGTGAAACAGTTAATCTGTTCAACTTGCAAAAATATATTTGCAGTTTGGTTAAATGCTCAAGTGTGTTGTATGTGTGTGTTTACAGGAAGAAGTGGTGGAAATAGAATATGTTGAGAAGTTCACAGCCCCGCAGCCAGAGGAGTGTGTCATGCATGATGACTGGATCAGCTCGGTGGAGGCAGATTCTGAATGGTGCGTTTCATGCAAAACTAAACAGAAGTCACTATCAATCTGCTTGGACAGTTTTGTGGCTGATATATAAAATTCTTTCCTCTGCCCGAATCCCAGGATCCTCACAGGCTCTTATGATAAGACTGCACGGATTTGGTCTATGGAAGGGAAGGCAGTGATGACTGTAGCTGGACACACTGATGTTGTGAAGGATGTAGCCTGGGTGAAGAGAGGTTAGAATCTTTACAGTATGAGATGCCTAATGTAATTTGTATGAATCTGATGAGTGTTAATCTAAGAGCTAATGATGCATGAGGTTTCTGAATTTGTCAGTTCTTTTTATGTTTGATGGTTCTGTGGCTTCTAGATGGTCTGAGCTCTCTACTCCTGACCGCATCTCTGGATCAAACAATCATGTTATGGGAGTGGAATTCCGAACGGAACAAAGTGAAGGCCCGACACTGTTGCCGTGGACACGCGGGAAGTGTAGACACAGTTGCTGTCGACCCCACTAGGACGAAGGTTTGTGGGTTTGCTACTCTTTCTGTCTGTTTGTCTTTTCTAATGTTAACCAAAAACAACATCATACATTTAGTTTGCTAGACATACTGTGTGTATGTCTAATGTTTTGTTTTCTCTTC